CCCCAAGAAGACTTTCCACATCAAGCAGATGTTCACCTGCGGTACACTGCATCCGCTGTACCTGTTGTGGCCTCCTCTACATCGGGGAAACCAAGCGGAGGCTTGGGGACCGCTTTGCAGAACACCTATGCTCGGTTCGCACTAAACAACTGCATTTCCCAGATGCGAACCATTTCAACTTCCCCTCCCATTCCTCAGATGACATGTCCATCCTGGGCCTCCTGCAGGGCCACAACGATGCCACCCGAAGGTTGCAGGAACAGCACTCATATTCCGCTTGGGAACCCTGCAGCCCAATGGTATCAATGTGGACTTCACAAGCTTCAAAATGTCTCCTCCCCCCTACTGCATCCCAAAACCAGTCCAGCTCGTCCCCGCCTCCCTAACCTGTCCTTCCTCCCACCTATCCCCTTCTCCCACCTCAAGCCCCACCCCCCATCTCCTACCTACTAACCTCATCCTGCCCCCTTGACCTGTCCGTCCTCACTGGACTGACCTATCCCCTCCCTAACTCCCCACCTACACTCGCCTTTACTGGCTCCATCCCTGCCTCTTTGACCTGTCTATCTCCTCTCCACCCCACTTTTCCTCTATCCATCTTCTATCTGCCTCCCCCTCTTTCCCTATTTATTTCTGAACCCCCTTCCCCTCTCCCATTTCTGAAGAAGGGTCTCGGCCCAAAACATCAGCCTTCCTGCTTCTCTGATGCTGCTTGGCCTGCTGTGTTCATCCAGCTCTACACCTTGCTATCTCAGATTCTCCAGCATCTGCAGTTCCTACTATCTCTAAGTCCAGTGAATGTTACTTTGGGAGTCAGTGTACCAACTCCTCAAGTGGTTCAACACTGATGCTTTGCTTCAACTTGCTCTGGCTGCTGATCTGTTGTAGCCTCCCCTCAAGAGCTGCTTCCCCAGCCTATGGAAACCATTATTTTCTCTCCTTTTTCAGGGCTAGTCTAGTCGCCTCTAACCTTAGAGACTACCACCCTGTCTCTGTCTTTGCTTTCATTTCCATCATCCCTAAATGAGTACTCACTTATCTCTCTTACATCATCCTGGTTGAATTTCTTCCAACAGGTTTCTGGTTTTAATGACCTTAACTAATATCATGTCTTTATAGAATCCCTGCAGTGTGGAAGGAGGCCATTTGTCCAACCAATCCTTCCAAGAGCCTCCCACCCAGATTCATGCCCCTACCTTATCCCTGTAAACCCTCCATTTTCCATGGCTAATCCATCTAGCCTTCACATCCCTGGACACTACAGGGCACTTCTAATGAATAGTCACTGGACTAATTTCTCCCTACAGATGCTGCCAGATTTGCTGAGTTTTGCCAGCAATTTCTATTTTTGTTTTTTATGTCTTCACTTTATCAGTGATACTTTATTGCTACTTGTTTTTGTTGCAACTTTGACACTGTCAATCTCTCAATCATCTGTGCAACATTGATGAGGGCATTTCCACAGTTGCCTTTGTTGCTTTTTCCAATGTATTTCCATTATCTACAAACTATCTTTTTTTGGTGATAGCTTCCAAAACCATTGAGCCTACTTCTTTATGTTTCTTTTATTTTCATCTCCTGATCCCTCTTCTGCATTGCCTGGCTCATTATTAGTCATAGTTCTGATTTTCTTCAGCTTTAAAAACTGGAAAGACCAAAGCTACCACCTTGTCCCATGTCCCCACTGAAAACTTCCTAATTCCTTATCTGAAGTTGGGCTGATCCAAATACATTCAACCTTACCACTTGGAAGAAATTGGAGATATAACACCTTTTAAGCAAGGTCAAAACGTTACAATGAAAAAAGTGGGAAATCTATGATAGGATAGAGGTCAGGGATGATTAAATAACAAGAGAAATATTTTAGCAAAACAAGACGAGTACTAATAAAACAAATCAAAGATAGATCTGGAACAACTGAAAATAGTTATTGTAAAATGGCAAATATCAGCATTTCATTTTTTTCTGAAGAAGTTCCCGACCCGAAACGTCAGCTTTCCTGCTCCTCTGATGCTGCCTGGCCTGCTGTGTTCCACCAGCTCCACACTGTGTTATCCCTGACTCCAGCATCAGTAGTTCTTGCTATCTCATTTTTTAAAAATTACTTTTAGTGCAGTTCTGCAGTTTCATTGAGTAACAGTGTGTTTTTTGGACTGTAGAGTAATATAGAGTACTTGGTGCTGTTCTTTGCATTTTGTAGTGAAAGCCATGCCTTGTGCCTCTTTGGGCAAAAGTATGATTCTTCAGCTACTGGACAGAGGAGGTTACAGAAGATCCTTGCAATGATTTTTCCTCGGGCAAACCACCTTCAATCCTAAACAAAGCCCTTCAAATCATTGAACTCCAATCGACAGATGATGTATGCGTGTGGGGGAATGTGGGTGGGATTTGCTTGGATCCTGAACTCCAGGTCATCATTGACTCGTTTCTGCCAACAACAAGCATATGGGCTTTTCACTAAACACCTGGAAAATTAAGGTCCTCTTCCAACCAACTGTCACTATATTATACCTCACCCTTCACTCTCCCACATTAAGATCAGTGATGAGACCCTGGAAAATAGAGACCATTTTCCATATTTTTGAGAGTCACCTCTCAATGAAATCAGGCATAGACTGCACAATTCGGCATTGCCTCCAATGTGCAAGCTCGTGGCTTTACTGACTGAAGAAGAGTGTTTGAGTTCCTGGATCTCAAACACAAAGCTAAGTTTACCATGAATTGTACTCTGCATGCTGCTGTCTGCTTTGGAGACTGAGACAACCTGCATCAAATACTTCAAAGCGCTGGAGAAGTACAACTGGCATTGTGTTTGCTAGATCTTCTAAATACGGTGGCAAGAAAGGTGGTCCAACAGCAGAGATCTCTCCCAAGCCAATATACCCTGCTTGGAGGTCCCTGAAGTAGTTGTTCCACTTGGCCTTTGGTCATAGGCAGAAACACACTGGAAGACAGGAAAAATACTTTGTACGTGTCCTCAAAGTATCAGTGAAAATCAAACATCTCCACTGATTATCTAGAGTCCTTGGAGGTGTGTTCAGGAAGGCATATAAACCTTGAGGGATTTTGGGAAGTTATGGTGTCAAGGAATTGGAGAAAGTACATAAACCTCTGTACAGCCCATCTTCCCCATGCTACAAGCGCCACCTGTCTTGCTTTTGGCAGATCACACGTTGGCTTTATCAGCCATCTCAGAACCTATCAAACAAGTGTGGAAGGAAGTCATCCTTCAACCTGAAGGACTGCCGAAGGAGAGAAGATGAGACCATAAATTATTGCATAGTCTGCAGGCAATTGGTGACCTTTTGCAGTTGTTTGTTTTTGATTGGAACAGCAACTTTCTTGCCTAATTACAGCATGCTTTATAAAATGTAGGTCCAGGACAAGTAATCTCCTCCTCTGGTGTTGTTTGATTCTGTTGGCATGTCTGTGTCTTTGAGCCAATTCTCTTGTGATTATTCTAACAAGTCATTAATACTTTTGATCTACTCTGAGGCTTGCAGCGCTTTAAGTCCATCAAAGAAAATTTGTTCCATTCTGTATATACCACCTTTTTTTAACTTATCATTTATCATAATGGGCCTGAGGCATATGTTGTATTTTACCTTAAAAGGTGATCATGGATAAGTTCCTGATAATTTGGGGAAAAAAATTAATCTAAATTTTTTTTTAAGTTACTTTGACTTATATTTTATGTGCCTTTGTACATCCAGATAAGGAACATTTGTTGGAGAATAAAGGCAAGTTTCATTTCAGCCATGCAGTGCTAGTTTTCAAAAATTCTGAAAGGTGGAGGAGCAGAAGTAGCCCATTGAGCCTGATCTGCCATTCCAGATTATGACTGATCATCTGCCTTATTTCTGTGCTATCCCTTTACCCTGTGGTCTCATTATTAACTAGTAATGCATCAACTTCAGTTTTGAACATATTCTGTGATTCAGCTTCCACAGTATTCTGAGGTAGGGAATTGTAAAGATTTATCACCCGCTGAGTGAAGAAGTTCTTCATTTCAATCTTAAATGGCTTATATTTTATTCTGAGGCTGTGGCCCATGGTTCTGGAGCATTCAGCCAAAGGAAACATCCATTCAGGCACTCTACCTATCCTTTTAAAAACGTAAATTTCTATGAGATCACCTCCAATTCTTCTAAACCCCTGAGAATATTCACATTCCCAGGAATCAGTCTGGTGACCCTCCAGTGCCATCCCTCTACGGCAGGTGTGCAGTTTGATACAGGGCCCAGAACTGCAAGTAATATTATAGGAGTGCCCACTGATGTTCCAGACAATACCACAGGTTAATGCAGCTAACTGGATACTGCCCCAACAAGGTGCCTTAGCCCTAATCTCAGAAGACCTTCAGCATGCATTCATGTTTTTCCAATTCCTCACATGGTCTTTCTAAATTAGATTACTAAAAATAGCAAATTAGTTTTGTGCATTCCCACTTGGGCATTATTTTCAAGAGCATGTCAGAGCCCAAAAAGACTTTGGTTCCGTAAGTCTGGATAGAGTTTGAGGTCAGGAAAATCCACGTCTAACCAGATTGAAGCTGGTTTAACTCACTTGGGTCACATTCACTTGCTCTTATAAGTAAAATAAAGTTTCGTTTGTTGTTATTTTTACTGAAATTACTTTTCAGTTAGGAATTTTATGCTCATTTGTAGCTTTCAGTTATTCCCAAACTTTGCTCTGATAGAATTGTATGTGTAACTTTGGATTGTTGTTTCATGCTGTCTTGTCAATTTTAAAATTGCTACTGACATTACTAGTGTTTAAAAGCTGTGATTTGTCGTAGAAGTTATAGATTAAATGATTGCAAAATATAAAAGACCTGTTTGAATTACTAGGTAATTCTGACTATTGATTGACACATTTTGTTCTAAGCTTTTCAACAGATAACACCTCATCCACGCCTAATTCAAGGAACCTTGGATCAGTTTATACCATATAAAGGATGGAAGCTTTACTTTTCAGAAGGTGAGCCTTCCTTTTCAAACAATTTGTTTTGGAAAAAGACTTCAATTTCCATATATACTCATAAAAGTTTCCACAAATAATGTTTTGAGTGTTTTATATAAAATGTTTTAAATAAAAATCAAGAGGGTAACCTTTATACTGATTTTGAGTTAGGTCCCCTAACTAGAGGAGAGATGTAGTTGCATTGGAGGCAGTTCTGAGGAGATTCAGTAGTTTGATTCCAGAGACGAGGGTCTTATCTTCTGAAGTGAGATTGAGAAGTTCGGCCTATATTCTTTGAAGTTAAGAATGAGAGTGGCTCTGATTGAGTTAAATAAGATGCTATTAGATTTCCAAAGTAGATGTAAGGAGGATATTTCCCCTTGTGGGGCAATCTTGAATGAGATGTCACAGTTTTAGGATAAAGGTTGCAGATTTGAAATAGCAATGAGGAGAAATTACTTCTTTCAAAGTGTCTTGAATCTGAGAAATTCACTAAATTGTGGTGGACACCAGTACATGAAATTTAAGGAGAAGGTAGATTTTTACTTAGTATTGGATTGTAGGGTTATGTAGAGCAGGTAGGAAAGTGGAGTTGAGGCTGAGATGCGATCAACCTTGATCACATTAAATGGTGTAGCAGGCTCGAGGGCCTGAATTGCCTTCTCCTGTTCCTTGTTCTTATCGTGCATGCTTGATTTGACCCCAGATGAAATCCAAAAATGAACATTGCGATGGAATGTAAAAACCAACATGTGAATCAGAACCAGGTGTATGCTACTTGGCCCTTTGAGCCTGCCCGGCCACCAAATAAGATTGTGGCTGATTGAATTGTAACCTCAACCCCACCTTTACTTCCTTGCTTATCAAGAAGCTACCTATCTCTCCCTTAAAAATAATCAAAGACTCTGCCTCCACTATATTTTGAGGAAGACAGTTCCAAAGAATTACACTTTTCTGTGAGAAAGAGTTTGGCCACATCTACTACTTAGACGGATAGCCCATGATTTCGAAATAGTGAACCCCAGTTCTACCTTCTCTCAAGAGGACATCCTTCCTGTATCTCACAAATCAAATATGTTTCAATTGAGGCACCTCCTGTTCTTCGAAACAGCAAAGATACAAGGCTAGACTGTCCAAGCCTGCTTCAATGATCAACCTCTGCATACCAGGTGTTAGTCCAGTAAATATTACTGAACTGTTTCTAATACATTCACATCCTTCCTTAAACAAGGGGACCAGTACTGTATACTATCTTCTAGATGTGGTGTCTCACCAATACTCTGTAAAATGCAAGCTTAACCTCATGAGTTTTGTATTCAATTTCCCTTGAAATAAACAATAACATTCTATAGCTTTCCTAATTACATGCTGTACCTGTATAGTAATCTTTTATGATCCACGCATCACTGCACCCAGATCCCACTGCATCTCGCAGCGCTGCAGACTCTCAATATTTAGATAATAGGATTTTTTTATTCTTCCTGCCCAAATGGACAATTTCATATTCTCCCACTTACGCTCCATTTACCAGATCTTTTCCTAATTTCACCTGCATCTAATCCTATTTTGGCCTCCCTTTGCTTTCTCCCTAACTTAATTTCTGACCTATCTTTGTATCTTCAGTAATTTTAGCAATCATACCATTGGTCTCAATCCCAGTTATTTTCATAAATGTATAAAGTTAATACTTTACTCTGATCCTTGTGGCACATCATTTGTTACATCTTGCCAATCAGAACATGACCCATGGGTGGCATGGTGATTCAGTGGTTAGCACTGCTGCCTTGTGGCACCCGGGTTTGATTCCACCCTCGGGCGACTGTCCATGTGGAGTTTGCACGTTCTCCTTGTGTCTGCATGGGTTTCCTCCAGGAGCTCTGGTTTCCTCCCACAATCCAAAGATATGCAGGTTAGGTGGATTGGCTGTGTTAAATTGCCCCATATTGTCGAGGGATGTGCAGGTTAGATGTGTTAGCCGTGGGAAATGTAGGGTGGGGGATAGGTCTGTGTCTGATACTCTTCGGAGGTCAGCGTGGACTTGTTGGGCCAAATCGTCTGTGGATTCTATGGGGACCCATTTATGCCTACTGTCTGTTTCTTATCAGCTAACTAATCCTCTTTCCAATCTAATAAGTCATCCCCTAACAATGAGCCCAAATTTGCAGAGTAACCATTAATGTAGCATGTGAAAGCGTTGTTAATATTTGAATAGAACTAATATCACCAGGCAGTGAACACCTCCATGTATTAATGCAATCTTGCACTGTAAAATGTACCTAAACAACATATATGTGAACTTGTTTGATGATTGAATTCAATGGAAAATTTGATCACTTCTGTGGAGTATAACAATTCAGTGTGACTTGGATGATCAAGGAGCTCTGGGAAAACAAAAATCATTCAGGTTTAATATAACATGCTGAGCGGCTGAGCATTGTACCAGATGCAAGTGGAGGTGATTGTTAGAAGTCAGTCATTAATGTCTCAGGATGTGGGTGGAAGAGGATCATGGCGGAGCATATTTTGACAGTTTTTAGCAACAATACCAATGATCTTCCATGCTTCGTATAGTTGGGAGTGGGGACTGTTTACGGGTCATTTCATGATGGTCAGTTCCAATGGCAACAATATATTCTAGCCGACTTGCATCAGAACTTGGGCCGTCCAGGCTGAGTGACAAATACAATTAGTACAAATGATACAAATATTGGGCTATGACTACCTACAATAAGACCAAAGTGAACCACCTTCACCTGACTTTAAGTGACACTTCTAACTACCCAGCAATATAGGGCAGGGGGTCATCATTACCCAAGTTTATCAAGCTAATCATTTCAAAACTATGATTGTATGAGTGGGATAGGTGCAGTTTAATCATATAACATAGGTAACAATTGCTAACCTGGTACCCCTGGTATCAACAAAAGAGGTGCTCCTTCCAAAGGTATCCCCACAGGAGGTTTTAGGTCATAACATAATTTTAAAATCTGTAACAGGAAAATTGGGATGACGGAATCAAGAAATAAAGCACTGTACAAGCGGGAAATGTATGAAAACGTAGCACTGAAGTACTTCAGAACTTAACTGCTTAATCCTATGGAACCACAATGTAATTGTGATTTTAAACAGATTAAAATTTTCTTTTGTTTATGAAAGAATTTTTGTGATTTCTTATAAAGCTGATGCATAGTTCTTCCTTATTTGGGAATGCAAAGCATTTGAAGTAATAAAAGCTATGGTGCAAATATTCCAGATGTAGCTAAAGTCAGACATTTTGCTTGATGCCTGGAGTCTTTCTGTATATTAGTTTTAAAGTTAGATAATTTGTTTTCTTCCTCGCATATTGAGAATACAGATGCTATTCTGACTTTGTCCATGGTCTGATTGCGTATGGGTGAGGGAGCATTGGAAATAGATTAGCAATGATCATAACCCATATATTTGTAGAGTGAATTGATTTGTTTTTAGGCTTGTAACATTATCTTCTAATCTTCACTGTGGAAGATTGCAGCATAGCCTTGAATGATTTAGACTATTTCTAACATCTGCTTTAGAACACCTTTGAAGGTAGCTCCAATTCCCATCTCGAGGTTTGGATAGTAGGCAGACTAGTTCATTTCCATGAACTGAATTCCTGAAGATAGCTGCTTGATTTTCAATAATCATTGGTAGTTTTACTTGTGCTTGGAACAAGTATGTCTTAAAATATTAAGAGATTTGAAACAAAAATTGACCTCCTGACATTTTCTTTTAAAGCTTATGTTGGAAGCTCCCCTTTTGTACAGAAGATAAGTGCATTTGAGAAATTTTTCACAAATCATATTGATCTGTATGACAAGGTAAGAGTCCTGGTGCTTTGTTTTTGCTAATTTCAATGTTTGTGAGTTGCCTTTCTTAACTATGATTGTCAATTCCATTGGCAACATCAGCAGTGACAATATACTCCAGAACTTGGGCCATCCAAGCCAAGAGTTGACAAGTTCAGGTAACATCGATGACACAAATACTGGATTACGGTCATCTGCAACAGTGGAAAGGTGAACCATCTTTACCTGACTTTACATGGCACTTGTAAATACATGGCATTATAGGGCAGTGGCCGTCATTGCCCAAAAAATACCAAGTTAATCAGTTCAAAACTACAACTGTGAGAATCAGTTTGGTTAAGTAGTGGAGGCAGGGTTGAAGTTGGTGCTAAGGAAATAATATTTATAAGGTGTTACTATCTTTTGTGAATAAATTTGGCCGTTTTTTTCTAATGGTGTTAATTTTAATGAATGAATTGAAGATGAGTATTTGGTAGAATTAAGAATTTGATTTACTGTTTATATGTTTAACAGTAGAAGAACAGATTTACTCCAGGAGATATTTTACCATTTGGATCTTTAAATGTATAACAATGCTGCAGCAGTCAGTGAAGTTTTGTCAAAGACATGCAGCACTCTTTGATACTGTTTTCGTATTAAGAAAAAGAAAATCCATTACCTTGATGCTACTTGTTACACAAAAACTAGTAAGAAAATTGAAAATGTGAAATATTTCTTTCCAAAGGATGAAATAGAAAGAAAAGGAAGTATCCTGATTGACTTTAAGGAGCTTGTAAATGATGAAGAGTTGAAAGCTCTAATGCCAAATTTAGCCACTGAATTCAGGGATATGCCAGAAAAATTGTTGGATTGCTTGGGATTGGCAGTTCATCAGGTTAAGTATCACATGACTCTTTTCTGTGTAAATATACCCCTTGGGCAACACCTATTTATTTTTACAATATCAAGATGTACATTTGTTTTGCTTCACTTATTTTGAAAATATGTAAAGTGTAAAGGGATGTATTTCTTTCTTCATTATATAACTTGCAGTAGTATGAACTGCTTTCCACTTCTGCAATAGTACCATCTTGAAAATGCAGTATTATTGCAGTTTTATTGCAAGTGAATTGAACTCTCTTTTTCTAATGTAAAACTTCAGGCTTAATTTATGTTGATCATATTGCACACATTTAGGTAATAACTAGAGATCTTGAAAAACAGGCAGCTCAATTGGATCAAGGGCTACCAAATGAAGATATTCCAATTGTAAATGTTCCCTTCATTCATGCAAGGTAAGTTTAAAAAAGACGTTTTTTGGCTATTTGGGAATATTTTCCAAAATAGAATTTCTGAGTCATCTGACTGCCTGTTAAGATAATTATGATGCTGCTTGGCCTGCTGTGTTCATCTAGTTCTACACCTTGTTATCTCAGATTCTCCAGCATCTGCAGTTCCTACTATCTCTGTTAAGATAATTGTTCCAGGAAGCGTAGATACATTCAGTTGACACTGAACAAATAATTATGCAGGTACACAATTCCAAGTCCAGCTGTGTCAAAAGCAGACACTTTTCTCTTTGTGGGTGTGCTAGACATTTACAGCATTTAGTTAATTTACCTGGTCTATTTTTTAAACAGTGGGAACAGAGTGTACACTCTATACGATGCACTGTGACAATACACCAAAAATCCTCAATAGATGAACTACAGCAGTTCAAGAATGTGGCACACAAACAGCTCCAGGGCAACTGGAGATGGGCAATAAACGCGACACCACATTTCATGATTTTAAAAACAAACTGTATGTTATCTTATCAAAAAACCCTACACCTTTAGTACTAGTGTTCAGCATTTTGCCTGGACTGTGTTTTTCATATCCAATCTTTTGTGGAGTGACTGATATGACCTTTCACTGACAATGCATGATTTAAAAACAGGCCTCCATTGTGAATTTGCACAATGTTTACATTCGTTGGGCAAAGGGTAGTCTAATATCTGGGAAAATCTGAAATCCAGCACAGTCTTGATCCTGATGGTGTTGGATTTCAGATATTAACTGTACTTTGTCCGTGCAACAAATTGTTGTGCGTCGAAAGCATTTTTATTCTGGAAATGTTTTGTTGATTCTTGTGTAGTTTGCTTTGTCACGTGCACGAATGATGGAAATGTCAATGGATTCTAAGAAATTACGGATTTCTTCGGTCATTTTTTCCCGCTTTCCCTGCAGTACTCCAGATATTAAAGATGTTGTCATTTCTTCAAGAGTTCCAACTAAGCTAGAATTTGCCATGAAGTCTGGAATCATCACATTTGTTCTCTCACACAAGATCGTAGCTATATGTATGATATTGTACTGAACTAATGTTGAATAAACATAACTGTTTTAGTGATGGGTAGGTTTGGAGTCTGAAGTTTAGATCCAGGCTGAATACAATCAATACATACTGGACAGCCTGTACAAGTAACTTGGGGGGGCAGTGAAGTCTTTGATAAAACAGCACAGTAGTCAATGAAGTTTTAACATGATGGTTCTGAAAGGGATGTAAAGTTAAAATAGGCTGAGTGGAAAGGTTAAATGCAGTTTTCTCGTGATTTATCAAGACATTCAGAATACATATATTTTAGCTTCTCTGCCAGACTAATTTTGAGGTGCAACTCAAATTTGAATGTGTGGGACACAAATTCTGTTTTAGATTCACTATTTTTTTGTAATATAGTTAAGTATATTTTTTCTGTTTTCAGTTTGGTGATTGATTTGGCATCCAATTTGTAATAAACTCAGGATTATGTTAATAAAATATCTGCATACAAGATCTAACATCAGTATGATAAAATAGTTTCTTTAATTTAAGCTTTATTTTTACTTGATTAAACACTCAGATCTCATGTAACACATGTAATTTTTCAGGATTTTTAACTATGAGCCTTTGACATTGTTGAAAAATTTGCGAGCTAACTGCTATGGAAAATATGTTTCCCTGCGTGGGACAGTTGTCCGTGTCAGCAACGTCAAACCTTTCTGCACTAGAATGGCCTTTACTTGTAATACATGTGGAGATACTCAGAGCCTACCTCTTCCTGATGGAAAATACACACTCCCTACAAAGGTACATTTTCATGCTATTATGTCTGAGAAAAGAAAATTGTTCATGTTCAGAGTTTTGAGGAAACTTAAGTTCAAATTCTTTCTGAAGTGTTTAGCACCAGAATGTCGTGGTCGATCATTCACGCCGAATAGAAGCTCCCCCTTAACAGTTACTGTAGACTGGCAATCTATCAAGTAAGTGAACCTTTGATTAAAGAGACTTTTGTTTCTGTATTTTTAGTTTGTAGAAATAAATTACTAATCAATTCAGGTGATCAGAATTTCCTGACCTTGGCATTGTGATTATCTTTGGCACTTTCAGTAGCGGGGTTATATAACTGTATTTGTTTAAGACTTACACTCTGCTACTAACTTGTGGAGAGGTTGCAAAGAAAGTTCACAGTCCAGAAAAATTGGAATACTTGACACACAAATAAAATGCAAGGTCTATCTCTGCTTCTTCCTGGGTCTTGTATATCTGATACCTGATTTTGACCAATTCAATTCACACCATGTGATACAAAGAAACTGCTGATTATATTGATAAAGTAAAGATTATGGGCCCTAACAATATTCCAACAGTGGAATTGAAGACTTGTACCCTAGAACTTGTGCCTCTAATCAAACTGTTACAGTTACTCCACCAGCATCTACTCAACAATACGGAAAATTGCTTGCTTTTGTCTTGCCCACAAAAGCAGGGCAAATTTAATCCAGCCAAGTACTGTATCATCAATCCATTCTTTCTTAGGGGTATAATGGAAGCTGACTTTGGAAGTGCTATCAAGCAGCAGTAGCCTGCTCACTTTAACTTCTGGCAGGGCCACTCAGCTCCTAAATTATTTACATCCTTGATCCAAACATGGACAGAAGAGCTGAATTCAAGAGATGAGAGTAACTGCACTTGGCATCAAGGATGTACTTGACTGAGTGTGGGACCAATGAACCTGAACAAAACACAACCAGTCAGTAGGAGACAGGGAAAAATCTTTCACTGATTGGAGTCATACCTAGTTCAGAAAAGAGCTTGTTATTGGAGGCCAATTATCTTGGTACCGATCATCACTGCAGGAGTTCCCCAGGCCTGACCATCTTCAGCTGCACCATCAATGACTTTACCTCCATTATAAGGTTAGACGTGGGGATGTTTGCGTATAAATCATTAGTATCATTTGTGACACCCTAACTACTGAAACAGTCCATGTACTCATACAGCATGACCTGGACAACATTCAATCTTGGACTGCTAAGTGGCAAGTAATGTTCATGTCACACAATTGCCAGGCTATGAGTATCTTCAATTTGAGAGAATTTAACCATCTCCCTTTGAGATTCAATGGTGTTACCATCACAAATGTGCCTCTTTAAATATCCTGCGGATTAATGTTGACCATAAACTGACTAGAAACCATACAAATGCAAGAGTAGGCAGAATTGAGAATTCTGTGGAGAGTAACTTGCCTCATAATTCCCCAAAGCCTGTTCAGCATCCACAAGGCACCTGTCCAGAACGTGATATTTTCCATCTGTGTGGATGGGTGGATCTGTAACAACACTCAAGGTCAGCATCATCCAGGGCAAAGCAAACTGCTTGATTGGCACTCCACCCACTACTGAAAACATTCTCTTTCTCCACCACTGGCACACAATATCATCAGTGTGTACCATTTACAAGATGTACTGCAACAACTTTCAAACCTATGGCCTCCTTCATCTAGAAAAACAAGGGCCTAGGCATGTGGAAACACCACTATTTGCAAGCCCCACCCTCCAAATCATACAACATCGTGACTTGGAACTTTATTTCCATTCCTTCACTGCCGCTGAATCAAAAATCTAGAACTTCTTTCTGAACAGCGCTGTTGATATTCTTCGACCAGGTGGGATTGCAGAGGTTTAAAAGTGTCTCACCACTACCTTCTATTGGGGGGAATAACAGCTGCTGGTCCTATGGGTGGTGCTTGCAGCCTTCAGTACGTTTCCTAGTCAAGACCAAATGCACTTTTCAGACCAGGCAGTGTTAAAGTATGTAGAGATAATTGAACTAAGATGAGGAGAGTTTGTTTATTTCTTGGGGGTGGAGGAGAGGGTGTAATTTGACCTCTCAGAGGGGGAAGGATTGATTGCATCATTGCAAGAAAGAGGTAGAATGCAAAATTTGCTTCAGGTATGTGTATTTTAGAAGAGAACTTTTACATTGGAGAATGGGGTGCTGATGGTATTGAGTGCATTGCTTTATTTGACCATGCCATGCTCACATCACCAGTTGGGCATTAAATATGTTGTGACTGTATGCCATTTCTAATAAATGATAGTTTAATGGCATGTGTAGGTTCAAATACTCATCTTCCTACTTTAGTCGTTTCGGTGATGTAAAAATTCAGTGTTGGTACCTAGTTTGTAGCTGAGGTGCTGTAGAATTGGTATGTCCCATGAATATGTTTGTTTTAAATAAAGTTCAAATTAGTTGTTCCTCTGTTTGGGTAAAGTAATACATGTACTTTTTTTCTCTCCAAGATTGCAGGAGCTTGCATCAGATGACAAGAGAGAAGCCGGAAGAATTCCTCGAACTATAGAATGTGAGCTTATCCAGGACTTGGTGGACAGTTGTGTCCCAGGTGATATGGTAACTGTCGTAGGGATTGTCAAAGTGGCAAACAGCAGTGAAGGTATGATCGAAGTTTCCATGAATTACAAACCTGTTTTGTTTGTTGTCCAGGATATTGCATTGACCATCAAATGTCTGTCTGACCACTCTAAGTTTCAACTCAAGCCGTCCTCCACACCCTTGCCTTGTATTACAAGATCTTGATTTCTTTTCTTTATCTTGTATATCCATAGAATAAAACACGGAAATAGTTTAAAGGAATTGAAATGAATGCATTGTGGAGTAAATATTCTCATCCATGAAAATCTTTTAAATCCATCAAAATTGGGGTTATGTTGCTTTTCATAACTAGTTTCTGTATGTGTAAGAATTGCCAGTTTAAGCTTCACTTGGCATGTTTCTAATGATGGTGATTACCTCTGTGACCTGGATTAACAATGCTGGTTTACCTAGAGCTAACAAACGGATGCATGTGACCCGGAGGCACAACAGGTGCTTCCAGTTTGCTGTAGTTAGCAAAATGATGTTAAAGGGTGTGGTGCAGTGGTAGCTTCCCTGCTTCTTGGTCAGAAAGCCTGGGTCCAAGTCCCACTTGCTCTGGAGGTGAGTTATTTATTACATGTCTGAACAGGTTGATTAAAATAACGTACAAGATCCAATGACTGTTGACAGTTCTGAATCAGGCGTCCACTAGAAACATCCTGTCAGTTATATATTGGAGGTGCTGGACGTCTTAAAACGCACAAAGTTGGGTAAATCCTGGGAATTGATCAGGTGTACCTAGAACTCTGTGGGAAGCTAGGGAAGTGATTGGTGGGCCCCTTGCTGAGATATTTGTATCATCGACAGCCACAGGTGCGGTGCCAGAAGACTTGGAGGTTGGCTAGCGTGGTGCCACTATTTAAGAAAGGTGGTAAGGAAAAGCCAGGGGACTGTAGTCCAGTGAGCCTGACATCAGTGATGGGCAAGCTGTTGGATGGAATCCTGAGCGACAGGATTTACATGTATTTGGAAAGGCAAGGACTGATTAGGGATAGTCGATATGGCTTTGTGCGTGGGAAGTCATCTCACTAACTTGATTGAGTTTTTGAAGAAGTAACAGGTTTGATGAGGGCAAAGTGGTGGACATGACCGGTCTAGGCCCGAAACGTCAGCTTTCCTGCTCCTATGATGCTGCTTGGCCTGCTGTGTTCATCCAGCTCTACACCTTGTTACCTCATGGTAGACTGGTTAGCAGGGTTAGATGACATGGAATACATGGAATACAGGGAGAACTAGCCATTTGGATGGAGAACTGGCTCGAAGGTAGAAGACGGGGTGGTGGTGGAGGGTTGCTTTTCAGACTGGAGGCCTGTGACCAGTGGTGTGCCACATGGATCGTTGCTGGATCCATTGCTTTTCATCATTTATATAAATGATTTGGATGTGAATGTAGGGGGTATGGTTAGTAACTTGCAGATGATGCTGAAATTGAGGGTGTAGTGGACAGCGAAGAAGGTTACCTCAGAGAACAACGGGATCTTGATCAGATGGGCCAATGGGCCGAGGAGTGGCAGATAGAGTTTAATTTAGATAAATATGAGGTGCTGCATTTTGGAAAGGCGAATCAGAGCAAGACTTATACCCTTAATGGAAGATAGTGTTGCCTAACAAAGAGACGTAGGAGTGCAGGTTTATAGTTCTTTGAAAGTGGAGTCGCAGGTAGATAGAATAATGAAGAAGGCATTTGGTATGCTTGCCTTTGTTGGACAGTACATTAGTTATAGGAGTTGGGAGGTCATGTTCTGGCTGTGCAGGACATTGGTTAGGCCACTTCTGCGATTCTGTGTGCAATTCTGGTCACCCTGCTATGGGAAGGATGCTGTGAAACTTGAAAGGGTTCAGAAAAGATTTACACGATTGTTGCCAAGGTTGGAGAGTTTGAGTATAGGGTGAGGCTGCATAGGCTGGAGCTATTATACCTGAAGCATCGAAGGCTGAGGGGTGACCTTATAGAGGTTTATAAAATCATCAGGGGCAGTGGATAAGGTAAATAGGCAAAGTCTTTTCCCCGGGGCTGGGGAGTCCGAAATTAGAGGGCATAGGTTTAAGGTGAGAGGGAAAAGATTTAAAAGGGACGTAAGGGGCAATGTTTTCATGCAGACGGTGATGAGTGCACGGAATGAGCTGCCAGAGGAAGAAGTGGAGGCTGGTACAATTACAACTTTTAAAAGGCATTGGATGGGTATATGAATAGGAAGGGTTTAGAGGGATATTGGCCAAATGCTGGCAAATGGGACTGGATTTATCTAGGTTTTTAAGGTGAGAGGAGAGAGATTTTAAAAAGACGTGAAGGGCAAATCTTTTATGCAGTGGGTGCTTTGTATCTGGAATGAACTGCCACAGGAAGTGGTGGTTGTGGGTACAATTACAACGTTTAAAAGACATTTAGATAAGTACCTGAATAGGGATATGGGCCAGGAGCAGGCAGATGGGGCTAGTTTAGTTTGGGATTATGTTTGGCATGGACAGATTGGACTGAAGGGTCCGTTTCCGTGGTGTGTGACTCTGATATTTGGTCGGCGTGGACGAATTGGACCGAAGGGTCTGCTTCCATACTGTACATCTGTGTGACTCTATGTATCAGAAGATGGGTCATATCAAAATTTCACTCTGTTGCTTCTGATTAAAGCGCTCAAATGTTCAGTCATTCTCTGCATTTTGACCATTAAATATCTATACATTCAGTATTCTGCTCTATTTGACTTTCTAGGGAAGACTAAAAACAAAGATGACAAGTGCATGTTTTTTTTGTACATTGAGGCCAACTCTATCAGTAACAGTAAAGGACGGAGAATTGTGAGTTCTGAAGAGGTATCTGGTGAAACAGCCTCCATGGAATTTACGCTTAAAGAGCTTTATGCAATTCAAGAAATTCAAGCTGAAGAGAACCTTCTCAAGTTATTTGTTAAGTATGTTGTTTAATGATCATTTAAACTTGATTTTTGATATCATTTGGATGTACAACTACAGAACTTCATTTGTTTTGCAGCTCCTTATGTCCTGCTATATATGGTCATGAGGTGAGTGTCATGGTACAATAAGAAAGACACTTTTAGTCTGTAAGTGAATAATGATTTTTCTTGTGTGCTCAAACAACTTGCTTTTGTCTGTCAAATTAAACTTTCCAACGAAGGGTTGTTTGCTTTGTAGCTTGTCAAAGCAGGATTGGCATTGGCACTCTTTGGAGGCTGTCAAAAATATGTGGATGATAAAAATCGCATTCCAATCAGAGGCGATCCTCATGTGCTTATAGTCGGTGATCCTGGACTTGGAAAGAGTCAAATGTTACAGGCAAGTAAAGTTATCATGTACAAAATTTCCCTCTATGCGCATGATGTAAAATCCTTAGAAATAATTCTTTTTTTTGGAAAATGCTTTATCCTCTTAAGGTATGGGCTGCTGCTGAGGAACAGTTACAGGAGTAGCCTCAAATATTTTGTTCAAGTAGCCATTCTTTTGTGAGAGTTGGCATATAATTAGAGCAAGGGAGACACGTCAGACTGAATATTCAAATGCCTGGAATTGGTATCTACAGCAAACAGTGACTAAAGCAGAAACCCTGGCAGGTTTACTTTCTTCCAGTGCCCTATTGTAATATCTCAGTCCCTGTCTGCCTTACAGTGCTTAACGCGGTACTGGCACGTGATGGAAATCTTGGTGCTTTCCACTCATCAACTTAGTTCAATTCAACAATGCAATGTTTAATTTTCCAAGTGAGGCAATTCCCAGCTGAAGCTGATCCTGATATCAGTTGTAGTCGGCAAACTAAGGACTGTGAGGGATAAAGAACACATCCTATACTCAATGTGTTTTTTCTTTTGTTATATCTCTGCGTTATTGTTCTTTCCTGTAAAATAATTCCTGCCACTTGATACTTTATATGAATTGCTTCCATGACTCTAAAAGAAATAAAGGAAGTTACTACATTTGAATAGGTTAAATGCTCATATAACATGGAAGTAATTTGTCATGGATTAAGAAGTATTTTATCCTACCTGGTGAAAGGCAATTTATATTTTCAACAAAGAATAAAGTTGGATTTTTTGATTGGCACCACATCCAGAAGCATCCACTCCCCCCACCACAGATGCTCAATAGCAGCAGTGTTTACGATCTAGAAGATCAACTGCAGAAATTCGCCCAAGATGCTTAGACAGTACCTTCCAAACCCTTGACCACTTCCATCAAGAAGGACAAGGGCAGCAGATATATAGGATCATCACCAACTGTAAGCTACCCTCCAAACCACTGCTGTTCCTTCACTGTCGCTTGGTCAAAATCCTGGAATTCCCTCCCTAATTGCATTGTGGGTCTACCTATAGAACATGAACTGTAGTGGCTCAAGAAGGCAGCTCGCCACCATCTTCTCAAGAACAACTAGGCCCGGGCAATAAATGCTGGCCAGCCAGCAACGTTCCCGTCCCATGAGAGAATAGAAAAAAAATTGTATACCAATCTCGTTGATTACCTCGTTCTAAACTGAGAGGATTTGTTGGTAACAGGAAAATATAAACGTATATTACACATAAATTCCTTATACTTATTTCATGATGTGTTCCATTTTCTTGGCAGATATTTCCTGTGGGGTAAGCTTCTCTTTAAAATAGCTATGGATAGTGATTTTATTTGAATTGTTGTGTTGTCCATTTAGTTTAGCATGTTAGTTCAAACAGATAACATACTATAACATCGTAAAAATATAAACTGTGCTCAGAGGTACTGAATTTCCAAAAAAAGTATGTATTTTGTGCTTAAGTACCCATTTGCAATTTTATTTTTAGGCAGTATGTAATGTTGCTCCACGCGGTGTTTATGTCTGTGGTAACACCACCACCAGTTCGGGACTTACTGTAACTTTATCAAAGGACAGTGGATCAGGAGATTTTGCACTGGAAGCAGGGGCTCTTGTACTTGGTGATCAAGGTAATTAGCACGGATTATATTGGGTGATAATAGCTAATTAACAGTGTTCAGCCCACAAAGTACATGTGCCTAGACGAGTCCTGACTATGCTACTTGGCTAGAGGTGCTTTGGAAATTAATTGTAATATTTATTCAATTGATCTGTGCAAGTGTTTGTTTATTATGTTGCAACTATTGAAAGGCATTGACACTGTGTGTGTGTGGAGTAGAGGTCTAGGATACAGGTTCAGTGGCAAAACGTGTTGCATTCTTCACCATAGTTGGTTTGTCACCAAGGGACGGTGAGCACCGTTTACATTCTGAGAAAATAACAGTCTCGGTGTGTTTAGTGCTACAATAAAGGTATTTGCATTTGCAATAGAAGATTTTAATGAGTGCTGAAGGATTGGGGTTTAATTTGAGTTTATGCCATCTTTTGATTTTAACTATTAGAAGGCACCAGTCAGACTTGCTTACTTTTATTGTAGGTTCCTGTTGTTGAACCGTTCAAATCAGCCACTGTGTAATGTTCTGAGACCTAATTCCAATAAGCTCCGTACCCTCTGTCATTGCATTCATTCTTATTCCTTGAATTGTTTAAAAATCCAAATAAAGCTATATTTCATTTTTGCAGCTATTTAATTAAATAGAGTTATAGTGATGTACAGCACAGAAACAGACCCTTCGGTCCAACTTGTCCATGCTGACCAGATAGCTTAGATAAATCTAGTTCCATTTGCCAGCATTGGCCCATAGCCCTCTAAATCCTTCCTATTCATATACCCATCCAGATTCCTTTTAAATTTGTAATTGTACCAGTCTCCACCATTTCCTCTGCCAGCTCATTCCATACATGCACCACCCTCTGTGCGAAAAAGTTGCCCCTTAGGTCCCGTATAAATTTTTCCCGTCTCACATTAAACCTATGTCCTCTAGTTTTGGACTCCCCCTCCCTCGGGAAAAGACCTTGTCTATTTATCCTATCCATGCCCCCCAATGTTGTACAAACCTCTGTAAGGTCAGCCATCAGCCTCCGATGCTCCAGGGAAAGTAGCCCAAGCCCATTCAGCTTCTCTTTATAGCTCGAACCTTCCAACCCTGGCAACAACTTTAAATCTTTTTCTGAACCCTTTTAAGTTTCACAACATCCTTCCTGTAGTAGGGAGACCAGAATTGCACACAGAATTCCAAAAGTGGCCTAGCCAATGTCCCGTACAGTTGCAACATGACCCCGCAATACCTATACTCAATGCATTGACCAATAAAGGCAAGCATGCCAAATGCCGCCTTCACTATACTGTCCATTGTAACTCCACTTTCAAGGAACTATGAACCTGTACTCCAAGGGTTGTTTGTTCAGCAGCACTCCTCAGGACCTTAGCATTGAGTGTACAAGTCCTGCTCTGATTTGCCTTTCCAAAATGAAGCACCTCACATTTATCTAAATGTAATTCCATCTGCCACTCCCATCTGCCCATTGGCCCATCTGATTAAGATCCCGTTGTACTCTGAGGTAACCTTCTTCGCTGTCCACTACACTTCTAATTACTTGCAATTTTTATTTTTATTTGAAAAGTTGTGATCGAATGAATCCTCTATATTGTGGAATATACCTTGAACAAAATATTTTCAGTTCTTGCCATATGATATCAAACTGAACTTTAAGTGTATTTGGCAAAGAGATAGGAAGTAATGTAACGATAGACAGAGGATTGTTGACTGGAGACATGTATGCAGTGCATTGGTCTATTCCTATTGCTTTTCTTATAAATAAATTACCTGGACCTGGAAGTACAAATTTTTGAAGCTTGTGGACAATACAAAAGTTGGTGCTGCAGTAAGTAACAATTAGGACATTTACGAGTTCAGAAAGAAATAAACTGGTGTAATGGGCAGGCGCTTACCGGATACAAATTAATGTAGTTAAATGCAAACTTATTGGCGAACAACATAGAGAGGCAGTGTAATCTAAATAGTACTATATTGAAAGGGATACAAGAACGATGAGTCCTGATGCTACGTGTTTGCAATTTCATGAAGATGATGAGACAAGTTAATGAAGTTCAGAGGAATATTGGCCACGTGCAGGCGAATGGGAATAGTTCAGTTGGGAAACTTGGTCGGCATGGATGAATTGGCTTGAAGGGTGTTTCTGTGCTGTCCGACTCTGACTGTAAGTGACTGAGAAAGAGCATTGAATTCAGAATCAAAAAAAGGTCAGGATAATCTTATTTTTTTGCAGATCACTTGTTCAGTCTGCTGTCCTCGGAGCAGGGAACGTCCACTTAGCGGCATGCACAGTTCTGAGAGATTTTGATAGAGCATGTATCAAGGGCAACTAGGGATGGGCAAGAAATGCTGGCCAGCCGGCGACGTCCATATCCCACAAAATGAATAGAAAAAAATGATGTACGGAGACATTGTTTCCACTGACCAGTGGGCTGGTAACTAAAGGACATGAATTTAGAATAACTGGCAAAGAAAAGAGATGGGAAATAAGGATAATTTTCTTTCGTAATGGCTTCGCTAATTCTGGCCTTAAAACATGCTTGATTTTAGTTCTGTTCCATTGCTGCCTGTACCAGCTGCTGTCCAAATCCTAGGTTTTGGAAGCCTCTTTCTACCCCTCACTGTACTACTTGCCTTTCTTTCTTCTCTGAAGATGCTGTTTAAAGCCTTCAACTTCATGCAGGCTTTTGGTCATCTGGCACCATTAAATGACTAAATTTTGCTTTTTGCTCCTGTGAAGGATATTGGGATGTTGTACTAACATTGAAGCTGCTATATGAATTCTGGCTGTTCAGACTCTGAATGCATTAGACAGAATAAAATTCAGGAGATTTGAAAAGGCAATTGGACATGAAGATAATTAATTTGCATCCTTATCCAGAAATATCTGGATGTGGAAATTTTAAATTGAACAACTTTTTTAGCACAGGTGCAGAAGGCTGAATGGCTTCTTCAGTGCTTTTAAGATTCTATTTCTGCATAGGAGTGAAGACTTAACTCATCTTAACCTGAGAAGTTGGGTGCTTTTTAATCAGGCTCATGACTAGGCCTTTGATCTTGGACATCAGGTTGGGTTTAATTAATCTCCAAATTGTAATTTGAGTAAGTGCTTTTTTCAGTTTATTCCAAAGTAATGGCATGAGTGTCATTTTAGAGTTGTGGTTTGTTCAGAAACTGCTGGAATTACTGATTTGTTTTGGTAGAATTGACATTTCTGTTTTATTCTCTCTGATCTGTTTCAGGCATTTGTTGCATTGATGAATTTGATAAAATGGGTAACCAGCACCAAGCCTTGCTGGAAGCCATGGAACAGCAGAGTATCAGTCTGGCCAAAGCTGGAATTGTTTGCAATTTGCCTGCCAGAACTTCGATTCTTGCAGCTGCTAATCCAGTTGGGGGACATTACAGTAAAGCTAAAACAGTCTCTGAGAATTTAAAGTAAGTCGTGTTTTTATAATTAACACTTCTGATTATCTGAACAGTCAAATTCAGAAAATAATGTTAAAACTCCAAAACTTATGGTTTAGTGTTACTTTACTTTTAAAGTTTGGAATTATTTAATAGCAAAATATGTACTTGTTTCTACAGTTTGACCTGTCACCATCTAACGTCAGCTGTACTGTCAGAGGAACACCGCACCTGGAGTTGGAAGGAGAGAGAGTGTTAAAACTAGTAAATGAGAATTACTTTTGGAGTGTTAAGAGGCTGGATGTAAATATTAAAAATTAAGAAAGAAAGCTTTTAGATTATTCAATGTAAAATTATCTAATCTCTCTGGAGCTCGCAAATACATGTATTGGAAATGGTCTTTCTCTGATATAAAGAAATGGTCAGCAAAGTATGAATTATAGGCTGTATTGTTCTACAGATTGAAATAAATGCAAATACACCTTTAGCAACAATTAACATTCATGTCTGAGGTAGCTTTATTATATTTGTGATTTCAGAATGGGAAGTGCCCTACTTTCAAGATTCGATTTGGTATTTATCCTGCTTGACACTCCAAATGAAGATCATGACAACCTTCTTTCAGAACATGTCATGGCTTTGCATGCTGGGAAGAAAGCAACCTTGAGCAGTGCCACAGTTTTACGTCAAGGCACACAAGACGCTAATACATCGATCCTTGAAGTTGCTTCAGATAGGCCATTATCAGAAAGATTAAAGGTACAAAAATATGCAGAATTGGTGATGTAGTGAGACCCGAAATGGTATGTTTGACTGTATAATTAGTGTATTTCATAATATACTTTGAGTAAGATAGCACCTTGACAGTGCCTGAGATTAAAGTACTAATCACATACTGTCCAATTGTAAAATCTCTTGGACATCAGACTGAGTTATACAGATTTGCTGTTGGGTTGTGCCAAAGGATTCCTGAATCCCAAACTTCCTTAAAATAAGTACAGTGAAAACCTCAACATTTACAAGAGAAAGAGAAAGAAAAGGTTACATTTAAACACTTTTTCTGATGTCTGAAATGTCTGTGCTTCACTTAGGAGACAATGTCTATAATGCACCAATGACAGCATTGTAACATAGCCTGCAGCACACCAAACTGTCCACATTGGCAAATTCAACAGCTGGTATCAAACACCGAGAGAGCTCAACATCAGCATTGCAGGAGAACAACTGTTGGTGTAGACCTCTGTGTATGATCCAGAAGTTGTGCAAATAGTTTATCAAATTCCATTCTGTCGAGTGCATTAAAGGATTCCTCACTTATACTTTGCTCCACAGCAGAGATGTATTGATGTGCCCCTGACAAGTGCTGCTTATCTTGCCCGTCACCAGAGAACTCTCAACCTTCACATGGATTAACCTTACATGCAAATCCAAACCGTGCTGGGATCTGCAGAACAGCAACTATCTTGCTTGTAACGGATACTCCGAATTGCCACTGACCATTCCACCTCACTCAGAATGATAACTGTTTTGCCTGACTTCTCAATCTGGCAGTCACCAAAGCTTTATCCTGAGGCTTCCTGTTGGATTTCAGAATGTGAATATCTCTTGAGGAATGTGGAAAGACCCCAATGTGGCACCAAGCAATTGAACTCTTGAGTCCCTTAATGAAGGATGCCTCATAAGATGGCAGGAAGGAGCACAGAGGACTGACTTCACATGCTCGAGCCGAAAAGCATGAAAACTCCCATGCTGCCTGTGAGTAACCAAGCAACAAAAACACAAAAGACTTACAATCAATGCTGATGCCATTGCTTCATAACTGCTAATAAACATAAAGATGGCCATTGGCGGGCAAGAGTAGTGGGTAGTGAAAATAGTCCTGATGTAGTCTCTTGACTGTCCTTGAGCAGTCAGTCTTCTCAAGCACTTATGCACCAGAGAAATTCCTGAGAACAGAGGATAACAGGGAAGGCAGTAAGTACCGAAATAGCCTCCCAACATAGGCACCAATCCAAGGTGGTGTCCGTCGTCACATGAGGGAAACTACTCGACCTTCCATGCAGCTAATGCCCTGTCACTCTGCTGTCGATAAGGTACACTTTGCTGGAACACCACCTGATAAATAGCCTGAATCCCACTTTGGACACAGCAACGCTCCCCCATTAAAGAGCTTTCTTTCTACTGTAAAACTGCACCATGCAGGTCCTGACACTCATTTCACATATTGAGGTTGGCTTGTGGGAAGGCCTGAAGATAGGAGCCGCTTTTGTTGACTAGTTCTGTGCTTTTTGACACTGTATAACATACAAGAACGCTGCTGAAACTCTGTAAAATCATCCTGTTTTGTGAAAACCTACAACTATTTAATTAATTTATTAACAGCCAACAATTCAGTCTGTGCCTTGGAGATCCAATCAACTGCCCCGCATAACCAACTACAGACTCCTCCAGGGATTGGTCCTCCAAGTGGCTCTCTTCAGAATATATGTCCTGACTTTCTCGCAATCATAGCTCTTTGCGTGTGCTAACTATTTAGTCCTGAGTATAAAGCTTTAGAACTCTGGATTTTTTTCAATGGGATAGATAGTACCTGTATTAATATATGAAAGTTGGGAGGTAAGGTGTTAAGTTAATGTAAATTCAAATTACAAATTCTCTACGAATGTAGCACATCCATGGTTTAAAATTATATGCTGAATTGCTTGTGAGGGCGAATGACTTGCATGCTTTAATTTGGAGCTTAATTTGGAGGCTAAGCAAAAATGATCTGATGTGGAAAAACTGAACAAAAAAAGTATTGAATATGCTAAAAATACAAAATTTAGAGTTGAGAAATTGTTGTTTGTAATTTTAGAACTTGAATAATGCTCAGAAAAGGACACATCTTGCCAAAGATTTTCCTCTTGCACTGATCGAGACAATTTTTAAAGTTGACTGGTACAGTCTCCGTGGCAACTCCTACTCATCAGCTCCACTTGCCAATGAATCAGTACTCTCCTGATATGGTAGATGTTGTTTTACCCCTTGAATTGGTATTCTTGCAAAGTGTCCTCGAGAGAGCATGACAAAAAACTTTGACAAAATGTGTTCTTTTTCAGCAAAACTGAGAAGTAACTGAGGAATGGGTATGAGATTGCTTAAGAGTTTCCTTTTTAGTTTTGGTGTGTGGGTTTAAAGCCATCCCATCATATGCTGATGCAATGGAGTGAGTTATCAAGAGATGAGGGTCACTGTTTTAACAGTTTCACTCAAGATAGGATGGGGGAAGAAAAGAAAACACATTGATACTTTGTTAAGCATCTCTAAAATCAAAGTGAAGGTAGATAATCAATAAAAGGAATGTATATATTTGTTCACTTCAGATGGACTGCCTGCTGCCATCATTAAATGTGGAAAGTAAAACTGTTTCTTTTCGCAACTCTGATAATGCTCAACTTAAGTCAGAAATAAAAAATTAGAAATGCAGGTGATTGATTGAATAGTAACATCTCATTTGAATTAATCAGTGTGTTTTTTAATGTGCTACTAGACTCTGGACTAGTAAAATTTTAATCTTGAAGCAAATACCTAAATTCTTCATAATTTAGAACAATGCTTTCTGTATGATTGGGCTAACAAGCAGAAGTCCAATCGTTTGTGTTGTCAACTGCATATTAATTCTGATCCAAAGTATTTTGTGTTCAAAAGGTTTACCCTGGAGAACACTTTGATCCTATTCCTCATCAGTTACTAAGAAAATATGTAGGATATGCGCGCCGTTATGTTTGTCCAAAGTTATCTGCTGAAGCAGCTCAAGTACTTCAAGACTTTTATCTAGAGCTGAGGAGACAAAATCAAGGTCCAGATAGTACTCCAATTACTACAAGACAGCTGGAGTCTCTTATAAGGCTTACAGAGGTAAATATGAATGCATGGTTAAAAATACTTGGGACATTGCTGAAACATAAACTTTAGGTAAGTGAAAATTTATAAAGCTTATGCCAAATTTGTTTCATATTATTGGTTTTTTTTCGTTTTGTTATAAAAACAATGCATGCTAATGGGCATTGTTCAGAGTAGGAATTTGTAAGTCAAATAAATTCAGATATTTTGCACTTCTGACTGGCAGTCTTGCTTAAGGGGAGCCCAGTTCTAAAAATCAGTGTTTTTTTAAAAATCATTTTAGCCTGTTGAGTGAAGTTGCCAGCAGGGAGTGTGTGAGTGCTGATTTTATCTTAATAAATTCAACAATCTTGCAGCATCCTTTCAGCGCACTGAGGTCAGATATGTTTGTCATCCTTTATGCTGAAAACAAGGTAACTCTTTTCAGGAGAATAAATGACCTCAATGGTCCAGTTTGTAGTAACCCCAGAAGTCGGATTCTGTGGACAAAAATGTGGAAAATGATCCATTCCTTGAAATGCTTGTCAATTTTTAGGAGTTTTCACTTGTGGCGATCAGAGTTCAGCAATTGAGTGTCCTCAGGCTGAACCTCGGGTGTCAACAATTTGGGACATGATGTTTAATACTCATATCCAAATCTATATTGTGAACATCACTGTAATGACTCATTTCTACCTTTGTCCCTGGCTCCTGACTCCATGGCAACAATCTGAGATTATGCCAGTCTGTTTGCAACCTGAGGATCTCGCGATCTCAAGATGTACTCCTGACTGCCTATTCGTGCCAGCACTAAGACTGTCTGTTTCCACCAACCTAACTTTGCCCATTCTCAGCTCATCTATTGTTGAATCATTCATTTGTGCCTTTGTTACCTTTCGGCTTGACAATTTTAATGCTTTCCTAGTGATCTATTTTTGAGATTATCTTAATTGGCACCAATCCATTTTTTCTCTGTATCATAACTGTGCTTGCTGCCAATATTAACTCCTAGTCAAATAACATCTTTATTTTAAAATTCACCTCCTTGTTCTTGAATTCTTCCATGGCCCTGACCCCTATTTGTCTGTAATCTTCTCCTGTCCTATGATCGTCCAAGATATCTGTATATCTCTAATTGTAGTGTCTTGTGTGTTCCATATATATTCGCTGTACCATTGGAGGCCTCACCCCCGAGTTGCGAGTGGGGCAAGCAGAAATACCCTCCCTACACTTCTGTGTCTCACTTTCCTCTTTGAGGATACTCCTTTAACTCTTTGATCAGGTTTTTTGTGGTCATCTCTGCTAATATCTCCTTATGTGGCTTAGCTTTGTTTCATAATGTTTCTGCGAAGTGTCGGGGATGGTTTGATATTTTAAAGATATATGAATATAAATTAATATTAAAATAAAAACTGTTTTCTGTAATTTGAAAGGCAAGAGCAAAATTAGAACTCAGAGAAAATGCAACAAAAAGTGATGCAGAAGACGTTGTGGACATCATGAAACATAGGTAAAGAGGTTTTTCAAAATGATCTTAATTACTGCAGAATGTGAATGAGCATACAAAAAGCATAATGGTACAAAATATGCAAATCTGCAACATAAGAACAAATATTATACAATGAACACAGGCTAATTGACTGTTGACTGAACACAGGAGGATGTGCAAGGAGCTAACATATGTCAGTGGAGTGCACAACTTTTGGAGGGGAAGTAGTACAAATCTTCATTTGATTATGTCTAGGTATTTTATTTGTTTAGCATTTATTGCAAATAAGTTTGTTCTTAATATCTACTTCAGGAACCTTTCCACAATATTAAGATTAAAAGAGCTTTTCATATAAGAAGGTACAGACCTTTATGAAATAAAGCATGAAGTTCTCTTTCTTCATAGGCCAAAAAAAATTTTTGGTGTCATGGGTATAACAGGAAATTTCATATTTGAAGGAATAATAAGAACATAAGAACTAGGAACAGGAGTAGGCCATCCGGCCCCTCGAGCCTGCCCCGCCAATCAATAAGATCATGGCTGATCTTTTTGAGACTCAGCTCCACTTACCCGCCTGCACACCATAACTCATAATTCCTTTACTGTTCAAAAATTTATCTAGCCTTGCCTTAAACACATTCAGGGAGGTAGCTTCAACCGCCTCACTGGGCAGGGAATTCCACAGATTCACAACCCTTTTGGTGAAGAAGTTCCTCCTGACCTCAGTCCTACATCTGCTTCCCTTTATTTTGAGGCGATGCCCTCTAGTCCTAGTTTCACCTGCTAGTGGAAACAACCTCCCTGCCTCCACCTTATCTATTCCCTTCATAATCTTATATGTTTCTATAAGATCTCCCCTCATTCTTCTGAATTCCAATGAGTATAATCCCAGCCTACTCAGTCTCTTCTCATAATCCAACCCCCTCCACTCTGGAATTAACCGAGTGAATTTCCTCTGCACCCCCTCCAGTGCTAGTATATCCCTTCTCAAGTAAGGAGACCAAAACTGCACACATTACTCCAGGTGTGGCCTCACCAGGATCCTATACAGCTGCAGCATAGTCTCCCTGTTTTTAAACTCCATCCCTCTAGCAATGACAGACAAAATTCCACTTGCCTTTTTAATTACCTGCTGCACCTGCAATCCTACTTTTAGCGATTCATGCACAAGGACACCCAAGTCCCTCTGCACAGCAGCGTGCTGCAATTTTTTACCATTTAAAACTGTCAATTTTGCTGTTATTTCTACCAAAATGGATGATCTCACACTTATCAAAATTGTACTCCATCTGTCAGACCTTTGCCCACTCACTTAGACTATCTATGTCCCTCTGTAGACTTTTAGTGTCTTCTGCACGCTTTGCTGTACCACTCATTTTAGCGTCATCTGCAAATTTTGACACACCACAATTAGTCCCCAACACTAAATCATCTATGTAAATTGTAAACAATTGCGGTTCCAACACTGATCCCTGAGGCACACCACTAGCCACTGACCGCCAACCAGAAAAACACCCATTTACCCCTACTCTTTTCTTTCTACTGGTCAACCAATCCTCTATCCATGCCAATACATTACCTGTAATACCGTGCAACTTTATCTTATGTAGCAGCCTTTGGTGTGGCACCTTGTCAAATGCCTTCTGGAAATCCAGATACACTACATCCACAGGTTCCCCATTGTCTACCATGCAAGTAGTGTCCTCAAAGAATTCCACCAAGTTAGTTAAACATGACCTACCCTTCATGAACCCATGCTGGGTGTTCCCATTGGGAGAATTTATATCCAGATGTCTTGCTATTTCTTCCTTAATGATAGATTCAAGCATTTTCCCCACTACTGAAGTTAAGCTACCTGGCCTATAGTTAACAAGGTGTAGAGCTGGATGAACACAGCAGGCCAAGCAGCATCAGAGGAGCAGGAAAGCTGACGTTTCGAGCCTAGACCCTTTTTCAGAAAA